TCATAGTTCGTATAAATTACATATAGTTTGTATTATTCGCTAATCTCAGCATTGTTTGTAAGTCTTATACAAAAAATTAAAATTAAAAAATAATATATATACTAAAAAATTAATTTATCATCAGATTTTCTGACTATTTCAAAAATTTTTTTTTCTCTATGTTTATAAACAATTTACGAATGAAAAATTACGTTACTTTCAATGATTAAAAAATAACATTTATAATTTATTTTGTTCGTTTGTATGTTTGTTTGTTCGAAAGATTTTTCAGAAATTAAAAATATAGAGTCAAAGTATTTTTTTTAAATAAAAGTACATAGGCTCTTTAGATGATTTATTATTGAAATAATCAATAATTCATCTAAACAAAGCATCACTAATATAAATATTTAATTTTTATAAACTAAAAGAGCAGACTGATGAAACTGGTCATTATCAATCGCTATCATTTCATCGAAATTGCCACTAAATTGAAAATTTTCAAACAATAACAATGAACTCTACACACAAGTTTGAGTTTGAAAAGTAACAAAACATTACAATTTAGTAATTTACTAATACTGAGGTTGTGTTTTTTTGCTTTATTTAATATTTATGAGAGAGACAAATTCACAGATATAAATAAGAAAACTTAATTTCATTTACAAATTAATTTCATTAAAGAAATGTGTGGGGTGATTTCTCAATGTGTCTAACTGTACTTACTTTTTCTCTTTGTTAAAGTTATATATTGAGGTTATTTTAAGACAAAAAATAACTACAAGATATAAATTTTCAAAAAAAGAAACATATAAAATTATATTGTTTACTCTTTTTACCCCGAAAGTGCTATTGAAACAATTTAGATCTATTCTTCTTTTCATTACATCTCAAATCTACAATGATAGTGTATCTTATATCAATTGTTACTGATAAATATAAGGATCAAATTCCAAATTGTAGTATTCTGAATGTTCTTCAGATATCTGTTGGTATCTGGGGCTTCTTTTTTTTACCTATTGCTATCCTATATCACAAACAATCATGTCTATGATAGTTCAGGATACAAATTTCTCTGACATCTTCAGTTTTCTAGATATATACCTCTATTTTTCCCTTTTCTACTCCTAGAAAGTGTCTCGCTTGTCTTTTATCAGTTATCTGGATGTGACTTCATCCAGCTGAAAAGAAATAAAGAAGATTATAGCTGAAAGGGAAACAAAGAAATGTGACCCTTTCTTTATTTTCTACTTATTTTTTTGTATCACTTTTTCTTAAACTCTTAGATCCGATCCTTTTTCCATACAATGACCTCCGGTTACACATTAACTTCGTCTCTAAAATTACCTTTTACTTCAAACAGTATATTTTCTGAGATTATTATATAGATATATATTAAATTAGTATTATTAAATTATGATTATTATCGTCTTCTATCATCAAATATATGTTATATAAGCCTTTATTTTCTTTGCATTTTGCTTTAAAATTTCTCCTTTGGCCATCTTGTTTTATTTTTTATTAAAAAAATCTTTATTTATATATTTTTGTTAATCTTTTAATATTCAGTAAATTTACATAAAATATTTATTACTTTTGTTTGTTTATTACTTTTTGCTTGTCAACAACAACAATAATAATTTTTAATTTAATATTTTATATTCCTCTTCTAAAAAAACGACTTTTAATATTAATAAAAGATCTATTTTTTTAAGCTTATAAAATATTAAATTTTTTTATTTTTATAATAAATTTCTTATGTTAAAGATTTTAATAAACAAACATTATCCAGGTGTTGTTATTATAACGATAATGATAAGTAATTGCATCCAGTAAAGGAAAAATAAAATAAATAAATGCGTTAAGGATTTTAAAGGATTATAAATAAGAGTTTTAAAAATTTTCTATGAAAATTTTATATTTTTATATCCTTTTGACAAGAATTTATCCATAAAAAAGCAATCTTAAATCTTTTACATCACATTATAGTCGCTAGATTCAAGATTCCTCTTTGAAATTATTTTCAAGAGATGTCTGCATCTTTCTTCTGATAAAAATCAACATTTATAGATAAAAAAAATTGTAATATTTCTACAAATCTTTTCGATTTTATAAAGTGTAATTTTAAAAATATTATCTTCAATTATTCTTCTTTTATTTTGTGTATTTTCTCAATTATCAAAATTATTTGTAAATAATCAATTTGTAATTTGGTTTACAATTATTTATTAATCGAAATTGTAAATAAAAAAGTATAAAGAGTATAACATCAAAAAATCATAAATAAAAGGCTGTTTTTTTGTTTACATTTTAAAAATTATTTTATTGATAATATTTATAAATAATTTTCAAAATAAAACGCTTACAAAGTATGGCGATTGGTCGAAAAATGACCCCCCTCCAAGATTTTTATATTTTTGGACTCAAGGGACTTTGAAACGACGAGAAATGCAAAAACGTTGGACGTTTTTTTTCTGTATGTATAGATGTTAGTGTGTATAGAGGGCACGATTTTGTTCACTCACTTTGAAGCTTAATATCTCCTTTGCTTTTTATCGAAAATTTCTGAAATTTTGCAGAAAAGTTTGTGTATTAGGGAAAAATGTTTTTATAAATTTTCACGAAAATCGCATCATTGGTTCGAAAGATATGGCCCAATCTTCTTAGTATCTCCCAAACCAATCTGAAGACTTAAAGGTAATAGAAGCAATTATTAGTGTTGAAAACAAATAAAAAATGCCGGAAAAATTCATTACCAGATTTTTAAAAATGTTTTTATATTTTTAAAAATTATAAAATATTATTTAAAATTACTTCGTTGTGTAATTTATTTAAATGAAATTTAAAAATTATTTTTATTAATTTTTTTTTTAAATTAATTATTGTAAACATTTTATTTTGAAAATTATTTTTAAAGATTTTAAAATATTATCAATAAAATAATTTTAAAATATAAATAAAAAGGACCCTTTTATTTATAATTTATAATTAAATATTACAAACGAAATAAAACAAAATACAGTCAAACCTGTCAACAGCGGCCAGTGACGGGAACACAAAAATTATTGGGAGATGTCCGTTATTTGGAGGTTCGACTGTACTAATATTTAATTATAATATAACAAATCCATTAAAATTCGAGGAATTCAAATCATTTAACTGTATTGCAAAAAATAATAAATAGTAAACGAATAGTTGTAGATAATAGTAAAAAAATAATAAACGAAATTGTTATAGATGATGGTTGTGAATTATATACTAAAATTTTGCAACTTTCTGAAATATATATGTGATATAAAGGGTCAGCGACTTCCATTGTTACGCACTCAAGTCACACGTTCTGGTCACGTTCAGGCGACACACTTCGAATCCGATTCGAAAGATTAAGTGAACTTGTTGAACACCAATATATTCGTCATGTTTTCGGCTTTATTCGTGTATTGAACTTGAAATTTTGAAAATTATTACACGAATTTACCCATCAATCAAATAATTTCTCCTCGGTATTGTGAAAATATTTAGTAAATTTGATTTGTTTACCTTAAAATTATTATTTCCAATCATTTTTTTTAAAATCATGGCATTCTGTTTCGTTTTCTTTCGGTTAGACATACGAAAGGTAAATTTAAATGCGATTAGATTATTTTGCATTAATTTTACTAATGATCTTTCATTTCGGAGCTTTAGTTTAATATATAATTTATAATTATATAATGTAATTATGGTTCAATACAGTCAGCATTATTAAATACAATCTATCGTTAATTGACATGTTAACGGTTATTATGATATTTGACATTTTCATTTCCCATTCTTTTGATTAAAGTATTATTATGTTTTGTGTGAATTATTAATATAAATTATATATTTATCATGTAATCTTATGCCAATTTGTTTATCAAAAATTGTTCTATTAATTATTCATTTCGATCATGTGGTTTTTCTTTAAAAGCATAATTTAATTTCATGTGAATTCTGATTTCTATAGATGTTAATGAATAAAGGAATCACTTCAAAAACACAAAAAAAATATTTACTTAGATCCACTTTGAAGATTAATAATTCCTGTATCATTTGTCAAAAATTTCTGAAATTTTGCAGGGAGGTTTGCGTATTACGAGGAAAGTTTCCTAGCAATTTTCAGAAAAATCGAACGATTAATTAGGGAGATGTAATCTCAGAAAATAAGCTCATACTTTGAACTTATATCGTATACATTTATGCAATATTAATCCAAATAAATCCGTTTATATAATATAACTAGTAATTAATGTCAACTTATGCCTCCTTTAACTATTATTTTCTTTATTTTTGATAATTATTCGTACATAATTCATCTACAAGCCAATAAATGTAATGATTTCATGTACTTAAAACAGTTCAAGTGGTGTTGCATATTTATATAACTGTATTATTTTAATAGTTAACTAGTAGCCCTTCTATCTTTTTACTTTTATCCAAAATGTATTCAGGATAAAATTTTTTAGCACGTTAATCGTATAAAATTAATTACATTCATCATATTTGTCAAAGGAATAAACTAGCCTACGGGTGAAGAACACGAAGCTTTCAGATAACATGTCACCTAATACGATATCAAATGAAATTTCTCGACAGAAAAATGAAACTTATTACTTATAAAGTATGTTTTTCCTTCATGTTTTTAATGATGAAGACATCTATCTAAATGCAATTTATATATATATATATTATTAGTGAAGGAACACTAAATGTACACATCTACGCGACTTGCAATACATCTTGCGACCTTGCAAGTTATCTTAATCCAATACATATTCAATTTGCAATATTTTAAATATATTTTTTTTAAATAAATCGTAAAGTAAATGTATATATATAAAAATATACATAATAAAATCTGTGTTGTTACTACCTGAAAACAAATTAAATTATTCTCTTCCACATGAATTGTGAGTTGGCTGGCAGTTGCTATATTTACACAGTGGATGGTAGAGGATGGGGAGAAGTATAGTAGTTGCAATTTAGTAAATTATATTTACCTTTGTTACCCTTTGAGGTAGAATACTTGTGATATTTTCACTGATTTCTTCGGAAGAAGAAAAAGTTGAATAAGAAGGTCCTGCGGGTCGTGAACGATGACTTTCCCTTCTCGATTCGTATGTTGTAACTGCAGAATAATATATCAAACGCATAATGGTGAAATATAACAAAATAAGTAAATAAATAGAATATACGTATTTTATGCAATATATATATATAACATAAAAAAGGCCTAACTATATTTTCACATATGTAATATATTATAACAGCTATATAAATTTTTTATATGAAAAATTCTTTACATGGTCATGCATCATAAAAATTCCGTGACAAATGACCCATAAGTAAAAAAGACATATATATATAATATATATAAATTTTTTAAAATGTCTTTAATATTAAAATGATTATAGGAAACGTGTGAGAAATTTTATTTTGTAAATGCTTTTACTGTTATAGAATAAGCGATTTTACTGTATGCTTCTTATACGTCTTGGTTTATATGAAAGATTGCTATATAAAACATATTTTTATAAATGTTTAAATTCAATTTTTAATAATAAAAATGATTAAATTGAATTGATAATAATATATTTTACGTTTAAAACGTTATATCGCATGGCCAAATATTATTTTAAATTTACAAATGAAGGTAACGGGTGGCATTTGTCAGGTTATGTAAACAGTGTGTAAAGTGTTGATACTTAATTTTTACTCATTTCTACAATCTACACGATTATATAAGATACGAGTTAATGTGTAAACGTAGACATTTATTTGATATTTATTGTAAAGATTGTGATAAAATTTGGCAAATGATGCATGAACGTTTCCAAGGTGACGATAATGAGTCAATTAATATTTTGTGGTCGCTGAACATGTTCATTTCGTGAGTGATGATAAATCGATTACTGTAAAACAACTAAATCATTTTTAATAAGAAACTTTTCCAATCAAAACTTCATTTTTCTACTTTTTAATACGAAACTAGTTGCTAATATAACTAATAATACGAAACTAATAATAAATTTACAAATTTTTCTTTTATATTTTATTGATTTGTACATATTGTACAGTGTGAAAAGTTGTTTAAAACGGAGTCGAAATAATCAAATAATAATAGAAATGTTTTACTTAAATCTTATTCTTAGATAATCAGATGTACCGAAGCAAAAAAAAAATTATTTAAAATTAGTTTTTAATATTAAACTTATGCAATTATCGTGTATATTTTAAGTTCACTTTAAATAATTGAAATAAATTTGCTTCTAGAAGCTCAGAAAATAAATAATATACCTGTCGTGTATGTGATACAACGAATCCTTTTTAATTAATTAACTAAATTGTTTTAAAGTATACAGAATGTATCGATAGAAGGGAATATTTGTGTACGTGTGTTTTGGAATTTCCAGCAATAAATGTGCCATATTCTTACTCTGAGTATCATTGTTTGGTGGAATGATGTCCGGACCTTTTCCAGTGGTATCTTGTAATTCCTCAATTTCTTTCTTCAATGAATCTTCAATCCTACAAAGAACATAATAATAAATTATAATTTACTTTTTGTTGTGTCTAATTAATTAATAATTAAATTAACATCACACTGAAAGTTGAACTTACTTGGTTTCTATCTCGATATGGGGTTGAACTGCAAAAGTAAAGAATAAAATCATGTAGATGCTTACTTATATGATTACTGTAAACTTACTTATATTTAGGATTATGTATATAAAATATAGTTTATAGTTATTTATTATAACGTTAATAATATTAAACAGGGCGAAAGATAGTAGGGTATTAAGATTGGTTTTCTCTGTTGGAATCATTTTATGACATTGTTTCGAAATAAGATTTCGAGTAAATTTTATAGTTTTCGAGTAGTTTTCAAATAATTCATGCGTTAAAAGGATCATTGTAGTAAACTGCCATCAAAAACAAGAGCTTTTTTTGAACTCAATTCTTCAACTTCTATCCTAATTCTAGTCTATTTTCTGTCATAACTTAAATCGATACGGACGGCCATATAAAATATTACTGTTTAATTTTCTAAACATAAACAATTTTTGTTCATTTTTTTTAATTTAAAATNTCCTAATTCTAGTCTATTTTCTGTCATAACTTAAATCGATACGGACGGCCATATAAAATATTACTGTTTAATTTTCTAAACATAAACAATTTTTGTTCATTTTTTTTTATTTTAAATTTAAGTATTGCAATTTTTTTCTGAAATTTGAAACTTGCTTTTATCAAATAAGGAAAAGAGAGAGAGAGAGAGAGAGAGAAGGGAAGGAACACCTTTCTAGTGAATAATGACTTTAGGAAATGAAGTAAAATTTTCAAAAAACAGGTGTTTCCATGTGTAGCAAAGGAAAGTCTTTATAATATTAGCTTTAGTGAAATGTGGTCTATAGAACTGTTCATTCTGTTGTGATATATGACGAAATGTTCTTTGCTGTCATACAACTAGAAAAACTATCTCCTTCAGTCCATTTTCTTGTCATGTTGTATTTTACAAACGTGACTTCATATTTCACACATTGGCTCCTTTCTTTGAACCTTTCGGAAAAACTCATTTCCTTTGCTACATCATAACTTGTATTAGTGTTACTAAGTGTAGGTATACTGGCAGGCCGGGGTATAACAAGAAACTTTGAACCATTTCTTGTAGAAGTAACATTTTTATCACTTTACTCAAAAGAACTTGATGCCATCTTTATAAAGAAGGCAATATTTTATTAGATATGAAGGCTATTTATTTTTATTATAGAAATAGGTAAGACCATCAACAAAAAAAGTTTTCTATACACTAAAGCTTGAGCTATGATTTTTTAAATGATCTTATGTAAATAATAACCTAGTTCAGGCAAATTTAAACCGTAATATTTAAGAATTTTCTGACTTTTTAAATATATATTTAAGTCAAAGTAAACTAGCGAACGATGACTGCTTTATGGTATTAGAAATCCGTTTCCAGATAAAGATTTTTACTTTAATTTTTAGTTAATATTGTAGAACATTTATTTTATCTCATTCGAGTATATCTTTATATTGTTTTATAACTGACCTTTATCGGAATCTCCTCCATTTAAACGCATAATAAATATGACAACTCCTGCTAACAGCACCAGCACTCCAACAATTCCTATGAGGACACCCAATATTGGACTTACACTTGTTTGTTCTGTGTTGACTGAAAGAAGAAGCTTAATTAGAAGGCATTTACTCAATCAAGTGTTATTTATAGAGTCAACTTAATCTAGTTGTTTTCTTTTTATAATTTACTAATGACGTGTAAAACAATAATAATTATATATTTACTCATTTATTGGCGTGTAATTACTTACACAAAAATTAAGATTGTTACATATAATTTACTCGAGAACTCTTACAAATTTAAAAAAAAAATAAAATAATAATAAAAATTTATTACTATAATATCCAAATTTAGTAAATCAGTCGACTGTAAGAACTTATTATCTTAATTAAGTGCATCATTTTTTATCTTAAATTTGTTATTGTCGGATGCATTATCAAAATGGATAGAAAATTAAATTATAAAAGTTCAGTGAAAATATAAGAAAAGAAAATTCAATATTATAGTCGCATTTTTTTTGATAATTTCGGGAAAAATTTCTATGAATTTATGGAACTAGTAAATGGTATGGAGTATCATAAGCATGGAATTTTGTGAAGCATCACAGTAACTTTCAGTGGCAAACGGTTTGTAGAGTTTGCATTACACCAACAAATATAACTTAAGTATAGAACTTGCTTACTTAGGAAGGGAATAGAAGTTCTGAAATTGGATACCAGATAAAAAGTTAGCCAGAAGTAGCGTAAAAACTTGAGAAATTTAAAAATTTATGAACAATTTCTGGAATTTTTTTAACTGACGTCTAATTTTAAGAATTATATAAAATTTAAAACTTAAATTATAAGAAAAAATATATATTTTTTTAAAGTAACTAATAATAATTTCAAGATATTTAAGTAAATAAGATGTTTTTAAAGAAGTAATTTTTGTAAATGTATGAATTGAAAGAAGGATAAGTTAATTTAACTATTCCTAACAATGACATTCTTTGTGGAATAACAAAAAAACAATCGATCTGCATCATCATAAGTAGTCTACTTGCGAACGAATAAAGTTCTATATCAAGAAAAGTTTCATAGTAAGTTGTCGATTGCTTAGAATATAAATTGATACAAAAATACCACGAAGAAAACAAGTTTCCATTATAGTTTATCGTTGAGCAGAAAAAGCAAAATAAAAGATACAAAAATTGAACAATGGAAAAATCAAATATTTTCAAATAAAAATAAATTTTTGATAACAATAGTCTTACATTTGTACACAAAAATATAATGAAAAAATACGAGCAGAAACCGAACGGGACATCTGGGTGACAAATGACCCCCGAGCTCTTATTCTGTTAGAGTTTACTGGATGTTTCTACAACAGTAAGGTTTGAAAAACTATATTTTGTGGTTGGAACCATGAATTCGAACCGGTATGCCAAGATACTGACAACACATCTCCTGAGGCTTCTTTGGGGTTTTTTTTTTCCTACAGAGACCTGGCACCGTGCCGCTTATCAGGAATGGCATGTAAGGATTTTATTTTATTTTTCTATACCCAATTTTTTTTCCTTTTATTATTATTTTTGAAATTTTTATATTCACATATATTCAATAGAGATCTCTGTATTGTCAACATAAGGTATAGGTCCTGTCAAATTCATCCAATGTTATTTCAAGAAGGAAACTGATGAAGGACGAATGAAACTTAGATATAGATTCAATAAATATCTGGAACAGTAATAAAAAGTTGTGTAATTTTGAAATTTGATTCTTTTCTTCAAAAGTATATAAAGATATCAGTAAAATTTTTGAAAAATAAGAAACAAAAAAAAAGTATAAATACTATTATTATATAATATCTTATCATTGAAATTTTTTATAATATTTCTTTAAAATTTATTTTATAAAAAACACAGGAAAATTTTATTTAATAACAAGGTAGCTTATATTTGTATAATTATAAAAAAAAATTCTGAAAAATGTTATAAAATGTATTTTTATTTAATATCAATGAAAATATATTCAGAATTTTTTAAATGGATAAAATACAAAATATAGTAGACCCCCTATAACACTGTAGATAATTCCGTGTTATATGAATTTCATGTTGTACGAGTCACTTAGATTTTACAAATACGTGAGCCGTTTACAGCCCGGCACACGTATTTGTAAAATCTAAGTGACTCGTACAACATGGAATTCATATAAAACGGAAT